AAGCCTTAAAAAGGAATGAAAACAAGAGCGAGTTGAGCGTGGAAAGAACGGACTTTCATCATTCGATGGACCAACGCCCATCATTAAAGCTCAAATCGCCCATTAGTGGGCGGTAGGGACCAAGTTGACAATCTCTGCTAACGGTCGACGCAAAAAAAAAAAGTCCATTATTATTGATTTATTTTCTAGTGTCTTTATGCGTACTTCGAAACTCATATATGTCTGATAGAAAGAATGTGTTGATACATATGGACAAAGCTTGGATAGTGACAAAAGAACTCTTTGAACCTGAGATACCAATACAATAGTCATGGTATGGTATTTGAGGCTTAAAAGGATGGTATGTTCAATGCATCGGCCATGTCTGTTTCTCCATTTCCGTCAAAGACAGCAGGGTGAATAATCAATCTTCACGCCTCTGGAGACTCTATCTCTTATCTCTATTAAAGAATTATGTTATAGGATTTAGTTTTGTTGTTTGTTTGCTCTATGTTTGATTTTTCATTGCTGTTGGACGGCATGTATGCCGTTTTGGACGTAAGTCCGCATGCACCCAGTCTTCTGTTGTAAACTGCACCTGATACAAATACAGCAGAAAGTGATGCATCGAAAAAGGAGCATCAGAATAAATTCTGTCTTTTAAACATCTGAGAAATTCTGTCTTTTTAAACATCTGAAACATCTGAGCCTCAGATTTAAAAGATAACCGTCAACTTTGTGCGGAATCGAAACCGATTTCATTCAGAGGATATAAAAAAGTTAAAATTTCAAATGTGTTCTAGTAAAAAAACATTTCGTGCTTTTTATAAATTCAACTAATTAAAAATTAAATCCGAACTATCATTGTAATATTGAAATATATAGTTATACTTCAAGTACACATTTGCTCGATGTGATACGATTGCACTGAACAACAGAGAGTGGAGAAACATTTACCTAACGCATATCATTTAACTATTTTGCATCATTATGGAAAAAGAAAGAAGCCTTTCGTCTCAAGCGATTGGATCTTCGGAAAATTTGTTAGAAGAATCTCGTGGGTGAGAAAGAGTCATTTGCCTCAGAAAGGCGTTTCGTGCATAATGCATGACTCCGACGTGGGCCGCGACCTTCTCCGGTTCACTGGCATCGACGGGGAAGACATCCCACCAGGTGGCGTTCTTCTCCACTATTCTATACGTATAGGCAGAAATTTCTCTTTAACATTCCTGCCCCCGCAAGTGTCTGAAATGGGTTACGATCATGGTTTTAATGAAGTTGAAAATTTATTTCAAGAGCCATTGTTATAATTTTGGTAAACTTAGCGTTAGTGGCATAGTTCCTCGAAATATTATGAAAACGATAATGAAATTTCTGAAATTGGAAACACGTACGTTGAATATTTGGCAACAAAAGAAAACACTGAAGTTAGATTTATCATTAGGGTCCCTTTACAGTCTAGGCCTACTGATTCTGGCCTAGGGTCCCAACTTTCAACAGTCTCAAAATTATCCTCTGATTCCTCTTAACATCATTTGTATCTCAGGAAAATAAAGAAGATTGAACATTCTGTGTCTCAGATCCTTGTGATAAAGGCCTCCATTAGTCTTGACTGGGTATACCGCTGGTTGCATAAACATTTGTATATTTCAGACTATTTGTCATACTTGCCATTCGACATATTATGAGCAAATAAAATCGTTGAACACTTGTTCAATCCAGATCTGGATATCAGCGAAAAAGCTAGATACATGAGCTTTTTCATAATTTTCCACATATGCAACCCAAGGTTTCCTTTAAAAAGACCTCCAGATCTGCATCCCTCTCTTTAGGTATTTAGTCTTTTTCGCTTTGTCGTAATCAAATAATTCTTATTCTACATTCTACATAGTTGTCAAAGTACTGACGTATCTACATTTATGTGATAAGATCTACATATCTACTGCCTGTATCTCTACAGGTGTTTTTTCTTCATATCTCTATATAAATACAAAAAGGCATTATGGTTTGCCTAACTCCTTTAAAGTTAAAAGACGTTAAGACTTACAATGGCAACAGCCATCATAGCTGATGGATGATAAATGATTCGAAAGTGTAAAGTAACATAAATACTCCCAGAATATGTAAAAATTTTGGTCTAACGCTAGATATTTGAAGAAAAAGAAATTGCCATACGGCCATCTCCCAACCCTCTCAAATTCGCAGGACAATAAAAATTAACCGTTCTTTTCTCACGCCGAAAAGGATAATCGAACATTTAGACATTCATTGATCGAGGACTGAAAAGTATCGTAACAGCAGACGAAAGCCGGGCGTTATTTTCTTGTGAACACTTCCTGCCCTCCGTGCTCATTCGTTCAGAACTTTCACCACCTTTCGCACGTGACATGCTTTCGAATCCACCGAAGTCTTTCGCTCGCATGATAGGAATGATTTGCTTGAAGCCAAGAAAAGTTACGAAGTTTTTACTCTCATTTTTGCCATTTTAAAATCTCGTTTGCAGTCCTGCAACAGTTAGTTAAATTTTGGTTTCAATTTAAAGAAGGAATACCAGCCGCGTACGTGACACCGCGAATTTCCGCAGCATTCTCTCAGCAACTTTGACGCTAGAAATCTTTCCAGAAGTGTGCAGCAGTGAGTTACATTTAGGGTTATGTTTTAAATTTTCTTCCAAGCGACTTGCGAGCGTTACCAAGGAAGGAAATACAGAACCTTTGATTTATATAGTACTATATACAGTGGTTCTCAACGTTTTTTTGCCTTACGCATCCCTTTCACTGCTGCTAGACAATCATTCACTCTCTTCGTTCCAAAACTCGAAAAAATACACATAACATACATTTATTTAAAATAGTTTGTTTTTTATAAATTAAACAGGAAAAGTATAGAAAGTGTTGGTAAATATTCAAACTTGAATGAAAGTGTTTTTAATATTCATAAACTAAAAGTGAGCACGTAACAAGTAAATAAAAGTCTGACAGCATTCCTCCCTGAAACTATGAAACTCCCTTCCTGAGTGGGGGCTTCCCTCTGGCTGAAAACTCCTAATACACACGAACAAATCTCGTGAATAATCAGTGCGCAAAGTTTGGCAAAGCATAAAACATTTAGTTTATGATTTTAAATTTAATTTATCAGCATTTGTTTAATAAATTGAGTGATGTTATAAATGCATCTCTTGAAATTTTAATGCGCCACTCTACACTGTGACCGTCAGTCTACGAAGTGGTGGATATCATATATCCACAAGTTGTTCAGCAGATATTCGGTGACCCAACGGCCTTAACAGTCACTTTCTGTTTAATTTTATTTTAACTGGCTGTCTAATTGGGTATGTCTCGCTTGAACATTTCCAGATGAGGGCTTTCTTTGAAAGGGGTCCTACTAAGTAAGTTCACGTTTTGGCAGTTGCATTCAGAATCTTTCCTAAAGCAAAAACGTGATGGGATATGACTTTGACGTTTGTATAAAATGATGTCACAGTTACGCTACGACCTTTAAACATCGTGTTCAGACACAATATTATTATCACTAATCTTGATAACCTTATTCAGTAAGCAAGAATGTTTTATGAAATAATAACAGATGCCTCTTTCTTTGATGGTCTGCCCCTCCTCCTGAGAAATGTCCTCCCAACAAATATAGTATTAAAAAAAAGTAAAGTTGAAATATCAATAATTTTCATGATTTCATCCCAAACACCTGCAAAAAGAAAGGAAAAAGAAATGGAATGAGTCTCGTTACTGCCTTCAGAAAACCAGAAGTGGGAAGGGCTGAAATCGGACATGATGGTCTAACTGTGGTGCAATTCAATATATATCCAACTTATATTCTTATGAGCATTTACATCATTACTTTAATAAATAAAAGTAGGTATTTAACGATGCATATTAGGCTCCTGTTATACTAAATTGTGCAAAATTCTTCCAGTTGTCTAATTTTAAAAGTAAATTCTCTTTGCTATAATTTAAAATGTATTTAATCCCTGACTTATCCAGTTAATAATTATCAGCATTATTAAAATTAATGAAAGTTATTTCTAACAACATATGATAAAGCATTTCCATTTTACAAGCATTTTTTTTTTTCTTTTTTTTTTTTTTTTTCCGAGACGTAGCTAAGGTTTTCAGACCCCGGGGGCAAGTGAAGATTCTGCGCCCCTTTCTGTGTACCAAAAATGAAAAATCTTTTATTCTAAAATTTCGTAACATCAATTTGGCGCCCCTGGAGGCTGCGTCCTGGAACAGATGTCTCCTCTTGTCCCACTCTAGCTACGCCACTGTTTCTTAGAACAATTTAAACAATATAAGATTGAGCTGATTAATAATATCTTCAGCATGCCTGAAAAAGTTTATCGCTTAAAGACATTTTATTTGTCATATTCGCACTTTAGTGAAAAATACCATTTATAGTATGGAGTATATTTAACTATATTTTTAGTCTTAGAAATATCATTAGTCGGGGGGGGAGGAGAAAGTCTTCCTCACCTTTTTAGAACCGTCATGTTTGCGAATTCCATCCATGTGGCCCGGCAAAGGTCGCCATTCCACGGAAAATTAGATCTCTGATTTCTAGACAGTCTGGAGATAACTAGTTTGTGCAAATTATATGTAAGTGCTTTTTGAATTATACCATGTAAAATTCAAAATTTTTGAAATTCCAACTTTAGAATGATGTTAGGTATATAGAGACATTCTATACTTTCACGGAACAGGATCCCTCTTTGTTGGAAAGAAAACATTCCACCATTTCTCAGATTTTTCATCGAACCATTTCAATTTTGTCAATTTACCATATAAAAATGCTTTCCCGTAGTATATCGCAATGTAATAAATACTGTGTTAGAACAATAAGCATTAAAGTTATTTCTTTATATGTGATTTTTTAAAAATAAATAGTTTTTAACATATTTATTTTGCTTGTGCATGATTTTCTGTTCGTTCAGCTGTTTCTTAGAAGTTAAGCCTTTTTTAGTAAACTTTCTCTGTCATTCCTTATTTCTTCTTTCTCCGACTTTGTAGGAAGTGCGAATTGGACTAGAGGACGTAATGAATTCAGCTAGGGTTATAAAGGCTTGTTATTACGACTAATGCTCATGAAGTTTCTTGATTCGATCCGGTCACAGTGTAGCCACTGTTAAAAAGTTAGTCTTAGAGACCTTAGTACGGGTAAGTGATTACTTGAATTATTTGAATTATTTAAGCACAAAAAACAAATATTGATCAGAAAAAATATGCCTGGTAAATAGAATTATGGTCGGAATATATATATATATATCAAGCAAGGTAGTAATTACAATACTCAATGACCAATTTGGTCTAGAAAACATCTTGCGCAATATGCTGCAAAATAAGTAAATTAGAAATTGTAGTAAGCTGGCCTAAAAGTTACCAGGAGCTGTTGCTCCAAAAAGTTCAACACGTTTTAAAAAAATTAATACATATGAAAATCAAACTATTTAACATGTAAAACATTAAAAAACAAAATCAGATAAAAAAAGTAAGCGGAAAATGGTAAATTAGCCTAACTCGACTTCCAAACTGGCTTTTCAAGGGAAATTTTATTTGTTTGAACGTCGAATCAAGCTAACTCAATTACGCGTTTCGCCGAAACAGACAATTGAAACTTTTTCGCTACAAAATTTTTTAATTTAGACAAAGTGTCTTGGAAAATTTTAATAGTCTCAATTTTCTGTTCCAATTTCCCGACGCGTCCGCACAAAATGACACATTAAGGTGTTAAAATATGTAAAAACTATTCCGATACATCTTAAATCTAGACTAAAATAAAAATAAAAATAAAAATAAAAATAAAAAAAAATAAATAGCGGTCTGCTATTAGTCATAAATATACAAAAACACATACGGGCTGGGCCTGCAAGCTTAAAGATTTATAATTTTATATATTTTAGAAATCTGTAATGAAAATCTGTAATTTAAAATAAAAGAAAATTAAGATGAAAAAACCAACAAAAGTGGGGTCTTGCTAAACCAAGAAAAAGTTGTAACAAAAGAAACAAAAAAAACTGACCTGTGGCGATGCAGAGCTCTCCCTCTTAAAACTAATGTTGAAAAGTAGTTGTAATTCCCTTCTGTGTACTTCAGTCGTGTGACGTATGTAGGGGGTGAGCGATGTTCTGTGGGCATCAGCCAATACGAAAAGACTGTCCGTTAGCTGTACAACTCGTCTCTAATTATCGAAGGGGGTCGGAAAACTCGGAAAAACGTGAAAAGATTGAACATCGAAAAACGAATCTCGAAAATGGCGTCTGACGTGTTAGTTGGAAAAGCAGTAAAATTGGGCCTAAAAGTAGAAAATGGCTTAATACAGCTATTTAAACGAATAAACTTGGTCACAAAAGCAGGAGTAAAAGGAAAAAAAAAAAAAACAGTCATTTGTTAAAAAAGTCGTAATTCTTCAAGCTAGCGGGCGATCAAGCTACTATGAAAAAAAAACGAAAAGGCCCGATTTGTTAATAAAAGCAGTAAAATTGGCCATAATAGAAATTTAAAACTATTTACACAATAGTATTTAAAAGTAAAGTGCCCAAATTTTGGAGGAGAGAGAATGAATAAACAAGAATTATCTGTACATTTTTATATTAGATTCTCTGAATCAGTCATCCATCTTAAACCGTCCTTCGGGCTTTAGGCATAAAATATCATTATCTAATTCAAAAAATCTAAAAATAGGTAAGGCTAATGCCAGCTTTTTTTTAGGGTATTTGTAATTATTTTATGAGGAATTAAGTTACTTTTCAAAATAGTTATGAAGTATAGTATTTCTTCTTGTAAGTGTTTCGCAGTATTGCAGATTCTTTTTATTCTGAGTAGCTGTGAATAAATTGTGTTAAGTATGACTCTTTTGGAAATATTTGAATTCCAGTTAGTTAATTTAAGTGTGGAAAAATTAAATTCTCTTCTTTTGTCGTAAACTTTAATAAAATTGTAATCTATAATATGTAAATCAAGGTAGGTAGACTACATTATGCTGTTCTGTATTTGTTTTATTTAGTTTTAAGCATGCAGGGTAGATATTAGCTACTTCTATTTTGTTGTAGTTATTAAATGCAATGACATCATCAATATATCTATAGATGTGTTGGTAAAATATACGTTCTTCTGTACTGAGTGAACGGACATAGGTCAATTCTTTGTAAAAAAGGAATAATTCACAGACAGAGCTTGAAAAATTACCGCCCATTGGGATTCCCTGTACTTGTTTATAGATGCTATTGTCCAAATTGAATAAATTATTGAAGAGCACGCTGGAGAGGAATAGTTGCCATTTTTCGTTGCTGAGAATGGTAAGTAATTTGCGGAATGGAAATAAATCTGGAAGAGCTAGTAAACTTGTAAAAAAAAATTTCTTCAAGTGGTAGAGAAGTATAAAGGTTTTCAAAGTCGTAGCATTAGATATGGTCTATTTTAAGAGAATTCATAGTTTTAAGAACTAGTTCGTTATATATATTATATATATTCTAGTATTCAAAAAGACCTATATTCTGACCATAATTCTATTGGAAAATATCAAGGCTCGGGAAAGAGCGATTTCTTAAAAACTACGATATATATAGTTTTTAAGAAATATATATATATAAATCTGAAAGCCTTCAAATTTTACATTACGCCCAAAGAGGCTTTTTTTTTTTTTTTAACATTTTGTGTTTTACCTTTATTTATTAAATGTCAGGTTCTTCTCACTTTAACCATAAAATTCAATTCAACAGCAATATCGCAGCATAATTTTAAAATGAGCATATCTTTAAAATCTCCGATACACAGTCTCGCGCACTGGAGATAAAAATGTTTCCCTCTCCCCGTACAGTACTGCCATTGCTCGCTTTGAAATCGTTGAGTTTGTTAATTAAAAATTTTTTAAAGTGTTTCAAAATATGAAATCGACAATAAAACAAATTCCCAATTTGGGCTTCCAGAGGCCCATATTCGGTGGAGGATTACGTTATTCAAAATTGGATGGCTCTGGGTACTGTCGTTTTATCACAATGCCAGAAACATACATGCATTTATGCAGATGCTTCATGATTTAATTTCTTCAAATGTAATACAGGGCGATAATATTTGGTGGCAACAATTTGAAAAGTGAAACGGGCATTTAAAGTTTTCAACGCAAAATGCCAAAAGTAATTCACCCATTCTATTTGAAGCGCCCTTCTATGGCACACGAAATTCTGACAGCCAGAAGACAGCATGAACATTTCATGCTAATCTCGGCATACAGCGGAAGTTGGAATAGGAGTTTGTGAAAACGAAATTAATAGCCTTTCTGAGCTAACGCCCTTTGAGCTTAAAAAAAAAAATCCTTTTATTAAAATTATTAAACTTAAGCTAAGAACTAATTCTGTCCAAGCCCTACACAAAATTTTGTATGCTGCTTTGGAGAGGTGTGTATTTCATACACATATGTATGTATGTATGTTTCAGGTGAATTTAACTTTGCTTGATAAAGTTTGATCTCTTTGCTTACTAATGGGAACTTACACTGCCGATACGCCGCTTTTTTAGTCTTACGAGTCGATACGCATAATAGTTAATTCTGAGTTAAGGTAACTTTCGCTCTTCTTTTCACCCACGCTTTTCATGCTAGAATGCAAATGAGATAGAGAGCAAATGATGATGATTATTCAAATTGAGGGAAAAAGAAGTGCTATTTAAGCGAAGGTTTTGCAGGTTGTTTTTAAAGCGTATTCTACCTATTTGAGGCCACATTGTTACCATGACTAAATAGCAATTTGATTCTGTGACGTTGAGTACTTCTAGCCATTAGGCTTGTCTCGCCGGTTTTCTACAAACCAGAGCCTTTCTGTGCGTTACTTTATCCTGAAAGCCATTAGGCTAATCCAACTGCATTTAATTTTAGTTTAACATTACTTCTTTAAGTCAAGCCAGAAGTGTTGGCTTGGAAATCCGAGTTGGGTCATTGTTACTTCTTTGTGTTCAAATAAAAGGGCTATTTATATCCTTCTTCTGACGTCTGTCTACAGTTTAAAACAAAGGGATTATTCCTCTATAGTCTTTCTAGAGCGCACGAGTTTATGCTACTAAAGAAAGTGAGACTCTATAAGTTGAAATACACCTTTTCATCTTTGGAATTCCAATTTGAGGAACTGAATGAGAAATTGGAAAAAAACAAATTAAGCAGTAAGCGGTATGCGTACATCGTAATCAGTAGGTTTATAAAACAACTAAAGTTGCGGTGCAATTGCTCAATCTTGCCAACACGGATTTTCCTTTTTTTTCTGTTGATAATGATTAGTATGTCTCTTCAGTAATGATTGGTGCAGTAGCATAAATTTGTTTACTTATTATGACGAATCGATATGTGAGCATAATTTAAAGTATTATTTATAAAAATATGGCCTGTCAGTGGCCGAATGCACAAGTCAGCTGAACACTGGTTGTCCATCCAGGCTTCGATTCCCTGCAATGGATTAAAAATGTGTAAACTCAATATGTTTGTGTAAAATGTAATGTACGTAAAATCAATATCATCCCATTTTTCTTAGAAAGTCCTTCCCGAAGCATCTTTTCTGAAAGCAAATACCAAGCACGTCTGAAAGGTAGCACTTGTTTAATATATAACTAGTCGAAAGAGTTTCATTGAATTAACATTATTTCTTCTTGAAAGTCCGCTGAGAAATGCAGCTACTTCTTTTGTCAGTAAAGCGCTTTGCACTCCTAAAATTGAAACTCTTTTTCTAGAGCGTTTTGTTGAACTTTCGAACTTTCACCAAAATCTCTTCTCTCTGAACAAAACGTTTTCAACCCCACAGAATAGAATTCTCTTGAAGATCTTCTTTGAACTTTTGAATTTTCAGCCGAAATTCTTTAACCTTCACTTGAAATTCTTCATTCTAGGCAAAGCGCTTTTCACTTGCAAAACTGGAACTCTCCAATGCATTCTTGTGCTTGTGGAATCTGGAAATATTTACACTGGAATTCTTTTTATTATCGGCATCTTCGAAATTTATTATTCTCCATGATGATCCTACTGCATGTCACTATATTCGTGCAATAACTGCTTCATAAATTTCATTTGAAAGCTGAGGAGCACATGGCCTATAGCCCAACCTCGCATATAGCAATTCTCATCTTTTACCCCAAATCAAGGAATTATGTGGTAGATAATCGTTTCCTTATAACGAGGA